CTGGAGCTCCCCAGCCTGGGGGTCTCTCCCAGGGGGCCATACCTGCTTCTCGGAGAGCTGCAGTTTGCTCCACTCCGCTCCCAGCATCTTGGTGATCTCCGGGAAGGGCAGGTCAGGGTGCTGGGTGCGGATCTGCTCCCGCCGCTCGTTCAGGAAGCGCACGTAGCCCGTCACGGGGGCTTTGGGGCCGTTGGGGAGGATCTTCTTCCTCTTCTTGCCCTTGGGCCAGCCCCTCTTCTTCACCGGCTGGCACCCGGGGAAAGGACAGAGGAGTCAGAGCAGACAGTGCCATCGGGACAGGGGAGCAGGGCCCAGACCTGCCTGGGCCCCCTGGCCCTCCAGGAAAGGTCTGGGAGATTCCCTGGCCCATTGCCCTGTGGAGGGACAGGGACAGCCCCACACCTCGAACCCTGTGGGCAGGGACATGGGCACCAGGGCTCACCTCCTCCTCGCCGTGGGGCTTCTCACCACCCATCCGTGCCGACTCCCCCTTCTCCTGCTTGATGGCCACCAGGAAGTTCCCATGCTGAGCCTTGCCCGTGGCGTGTCTGCAGCCAGAGAGCACCATCACAGAGGGCTGGGACCAACAGCAACACGCCCCCTGGCAGCACAGCCTCGTGCCCACTAAATCCTCCCAAATTCCCTCACCCGAACAGCCCCAAACCCAGCACTGGAGCCTCTGTTCCCAAGAGGGGAGGCCACGGTGGAGCGACGGGGCCGGAGCAGAGCCCAGCACTGGCCGAGAAAGGCAGCCCTGGGCACCCTAAAGCTGCCCTGAGGTCCAGTGGCAGCCCTGGGACCTGTCAGGGACATTTGGAAGAGGGCTAGTGCTGCTCTTGGAGGCAGGTAACAGCGATGCCATCGCATCAGTGACAGCCCCTGCCTGTCACCTGGGCCCGGGACACACCTCAGTGGGGCGTCCCAAGGGGCAGGAACCCGCTGATCCTCCTCTGCAAGGGAGGAGGAGCCGCAGGGTTTTGGATCCTGGCTCAAGGAGCACCACCTGGAAGCATCACCCACACCCAAGGAGCCCTGGAGGCAGAGGGTGAGGGCAGGGCGTTGGCCCGACCCGCTCCGGCCACAACCACCCCAGCAGGTTCCTGTGCCTGGGACACCACCCCAACACCCCAGCAGCTCCAGCCCTGCTCCCCAGACCACTAATGTGGCTTTAGGGATCTGCAGCTGCCTTGGGCAGAGCCTCCCTGTCCCTCCACACCATCACCCTGGGCCCCCCCAGCCCCTCCTCCAGTCAGCTCCATTCCACAGCCCCTGTCTGCTCACACCCCAAGGCAGCTCCTGCTCCGCTGGAAATGTCCCCACCATGTTGGGGGAGCCACAAAGGGCTCCAGAGTGTCACCAAACGGCACCTGCTTGGGTTCCATCCGGGTCCCCAGACCTGGGAACCAGCCCAGGGCCAAGCACAAGCCCCGGCAAGGACAACGTGTACCAGAAGACACAACAATCCCAACCCGCTCAGGATCCACCCTGGAATTCCCCTTGTGTTTGCCACACCATGTACCTGGAGTAAACCCAAACTTTCCAGAGATCCCAACCCACTGCTACCCACTCATCACTTGTCCAAGCCACCCTTACAGGTAATTTAGGGAGGCCCCTTCCATGAGTCCCCAGGACACTGCCCATTACTGCACCAGTCCTTGTGGATAAAGGGGGTGCCCAGCACAAGTTCCTCCCACTGGGATCAGAGCTCAGCCAGTGCCCTGCACCCCACAAAACCCCACAGGAAGGTCTGAGACCACCTCTTCTCCCGCCTTCTGGGGGAAAAGAACCCCCCAGGGCTGTGCAGGGGACTGCCAGCCTTGGGCTTTATGAGTTCCACCAGCAGTATTCCCAGTGATGCCAGGAACACACCAAACACCCTCCAGGGCCAGACAGATCCTTGCCCCTCCTTTCTGTGAACTGGATTCCTCTCATGCCTAAGGATGCTTTAAAAAGTAAAGTTATTTCAGGCAAGATTCCTCCTCTGGCATCCACCTCCCTCCGCCTCCAAAACGCTTCCCCGTCTGTGCCAGGAGGGCCAAAGCCAGCTCAGGACAGCACAAATCCCAGGGGAATTCAGCCCACGCTGGTCCTGATCTCCCAAGATGCTTGGAGTCACAGACTCCTGGAATCTCCTGAGCTGGAAAGGACCCACAGGGATCATCCAGTCCAACTCCTGGCCCTGCCCAGGACACCCCAACAATCCCCCCCTGTCCCTCAGAGCGTTGTCCAAACGCTCCTGGAGCTCTGGCAGCCTTGGGGCTGTGCCCACTGCCCTGGGGAGCCTGGGCAGTGCCCACCACCCTCTGGGGGAAGAACCTTTCCCTGAGATCCATCCCAACCCCCCTGGCACAGCTC